TTCAAGAACATATACTCTGACAGCCTAATTCTCTACAAATCATCTGTTATGCTGCAAGTTTTAAGAAACCTAAGGCTGATTTAGACAACTCAAAAGATAACCTTATTCTGAAGTAATTTTGCAGTTTAATCTCTAAACACAAAAGATCAAGATAGGAACAAACATTTTAAGTAGATAATCCTCCTACACCTGTAGGAGAATTCTTAAATTTGATTATTGTTGGTTGGGTATTTTTTTTACTAACCAATACTACCTCTTCCTGAAGCAGGATAATGAAGTTTGGATCAGCACCAATCCAAAATGACAATACAAAAATTCTTACTATGTGCAAAGAGTTTCTGGTTTTGAAACTTATAAATAATTTCAGCAAAGTCTCACAGGTATTCAGTAATCTAATCCTTACTCCATCTCTACTGATGCATAGATAAAACAATTTAAACATCCTGTATAAAAGAAACCAAAATTTGGCACAAAGAAACGATAGGTAAATTTATTTTCTCTCACCTTCTTTGACTTTTAGAAAACAAGAGCTGGTTTATTTTTCTGTAAGTCTGAAAGTTGGCACAGTATAATGCCATCTACAACTGTGTGAAACATTTTGAATATTAATGTCTAGCCAAGCCAGCAATTCAGAATAAAAAAGGGAGAGAAATCCCATAAAGCAGGTAGTGAATGGTATGGTGCCCTAACGAGGAAAGGCAAGTTTCTACACTACCTCTGAAAGTAGAAGCATACAACAGGATTAGCCTTATCTTATTTAAGTTTCTTAACAGCAAGACTGCAGCCTCCTGACAATACTGTTTCCAGCAGGACTCAAATTCCAAGTAAGAGCAATTCTTAAAATAAAGTAGCTATGTCTGGCAGAGCTGGAACCATGAGGACAACATGAACACTCAAACCAGTTTATTCAGGTTTGACTCAAGAGGAAAAACTACATTTCAGGCTAGACAAAAATAAGACCCAACATACCTAAAGAAGCTTCCAGACTACAATTTTTAGGTCATGCCCTGTATTTTTTCCTGCTTTTCAATTCATATGTAGGAAGGTCAGATCATAAAGTGGATTTCACTGTGGCATTTCAAATCAGATTATTCTCTACATAATAATTAGTGCCATTCTTCTCATCACTTGCATACTGTTTTGCTAGTCTCAGAGTGTTATTTGTGTTTATTTCTGAGAAGCTTCTTTTAATCCCTTCAAAGTACCAGCATCCTAAGCGCAGCTATCTCATGCTCCATGAACTTTAGTGCAAATGCTGTAAGCGTTTCTTTTCTTCTTAACAACTTCATTACAGTGTTTACACAGGAATACAGTGCTTGTACTGTAACCATGCAAAGCAAATATTCTGTAGTAAATGTAAGCTTTATTCAAAGTGTAGCTTTAGAAGTCTTTATGACATACTCCAGCCTGGACTGCCAGCGCTGGTGCAGGGAAAATGGCAAAAGGAAAACTATAATGACAGATGTTTCATGCTCACAAGAACATTGGAATGGTCAAACAGAAAACCTATGGGCCAAACATATTTCCAAAATGCATCTGCACCTCTCTGCTAACCCATGACATCCCGAGCTATCTCTGCAAAAAGGACCTCAATTTCTCTGCACTGTCTTCACAAGCTGTTTATTCACCATGAGATTATGAAGTATATGAGAGAAAAATGGCTGCAGGGTAAAAAAACCTGGATCACAATTGCATGAGAAATGGAAGTAGAACTTTTCTTCTTAAAAAGAAGATTAAATGTTCTTCTGGCAAGCTAGCAATCAAGCTGTGATTTTCCTTCTGGTACAACTAAGTATGACCCAGACACGGACCACCAGGGACAGACTTCCCAAAGAAATACAGCATTCAGGGAGAAAAGCAGTGCCAAGGATCCCAATGGGCCATTCTAGAGAAGACCTTCTGCCAGAAATAAAGCTCTTAAGCAAGACTGAAATCCCATTAAGAGAAAAAAATAAGGAGAGAAACATCAACAGCTTCTTCTAATGGAGAGTTTAAATAAAGTCAAAGCTATTCGTGGAGACAGTGAGGAATCAGAAAGGAAACAAAGGCAAAAGAGTTGGTGTACTATCAAAATCTGCACTGTTGGTTTCACTTATGAAAAAACCCCATGGTTGTCCTCTAAAAACTATTTTTGGACTCACACAAAACTCTTGCATTTTACCTCTTCTAGCAAGAGATAAATCAAACAACATTTAATATTCAGGGCTTATTCTGTGCAAAGTGGAAAATTATCATGCTAGCCCTTAATGCTCACACTGAATGAGGGACTGCTTTTTGATGTTGCACTTTTGTTTGTTTTTAACGGGGGGAAAAAAGACCTCACCGAAAGGCACACATGGCCATGTATGTAGATCTGCTTTTGCTGATATCACTACCACAGACCTAAGTACTGCAATTCAGGAAACATAGAAAATCACTGAATGATTTCATGAGAAAAAATCGTCAGCCCAGTGAACCTGCTATTTTGAAATCCAATCTAGTATTAACAGCAATAAAGCAAAGAATAAAATCCAACACCACAACCTCAGAGATACGGTAATGTCTGAATAAATCAAAATCACCAGTTTTGGTTTGTGGTACAGAAGTTTACATTTGAATGCAGCTGGACTGCAGTCAGCTAGCCAGCTCCCACAGCAGCCTCTCCAAGCTGTATTGATTTCTAGGGAAGAAAAGGCACTGTAAATCTGCCTGAGCAGCATTGCGTCATACTTTTGGTTGGCTTGAAAAAAGCAAATTAAATGTTTTCCATTAGCATGGTAAAGAAGCTATACAATTTTGTTTTTATTTCAAATAGAGTCTCAAGTTACAGAACACTTTAGCTAACTCTGTGGCAAGGACTACATGCTCCATGTTTGTGAAGCCAGCAATTCATGCTTATGTGAAACCAGATGTGTGCACTGCACAGTTCCCAGGGCTGGGAAGGGTTTTTAAAATGTGTTGCAGTCGATTAAAAAGGACTCTACTTTTCACTTAGATCACAGAATATACTGAAGCAGAAACAACACGATTTTGCAGAGAAGGGGAAAGATGGGAAATGCAAAGGGTCAGAAGCAGAAGAAAACTTTAAAGCTATAAAAAAGCCACACACACAGAACAGCATAGTAGCAACACTGTAGTACAACAAAGAGCAGTACAGTTCTAAAAAGAAACAACCATAACATGATTTGAGGTAACAAGAACTCCTTGATCAATTATTCATATAATTTACAATGCTTAGAGCTGCATCAATGAGGAAAAGGAAAAAAAAGAATCTAGGGCAAATATAAAATCTTCACAGCTATGAAGTGTCCTTGATTTTCACCAGAACATTTGGCTGTCTCGTATCATGTGTTTCTAGTTAGCAACAAACCCCTCCAACAAAGGGAAATGAGACAGAGGCACAGAACAAACTGCCTTGTTGAAGCAGTGAGAGTGTTCAAGGCTGCATTTCACCCATGGATGCTGTGCAGCACCAAAACCCACCACTACACTAACACTGCTGTGTTTGAAACCTAACCACCACCCCACCTAGATACATCCATGCACCCCATGGGATTATGAGGATACCTTCTGTGAAGTCTTTACTCTCTTGATATAAAAAAACTGCACTTGAGAAAGAAATAAATTTTTAAGTAATTCCCAGAAGGAATGCTGTGTCCTTGTAACGTGTGGTTATCTCAACTTGTATTGCTTTGTGTACTCGTAAGGCAAATGTAACAAAGGGAAATGTTACAGAGATAAGAATTTCTGGATGGGATTTTTGCCTTCAGTTTGAAATAACTTTGTAATCATCAGCAGCAGCTTTTCTACTCTGTCAGGGTCTGGATTGATTTCAAGTTGTTCAAGATGACCTTGCTAGTGGACTGGAGAAACATGGATGCAGCCAAAATCCAAGAAATGGGAAGCAAAGAGAGAGGGCATGGTGCAGCAAAGGGATGAGGGGGTCTAACTGTGCTTACTGCACTCACCCCCAGATGTGTACAGCAGATCATGAGGGAAGGTTATGAGTTGAAGTACTGACTCTGCTAATGGGAGAAATTAACACCAATTTTGATTTTACTCCATGGATGGAAGGAAAATGAACTTAGGTCTAGTTCAGAGCTCTAATTTCAGTATAAACTGAGATCAATAAAGGATTAACTAGAAAAATCTGCAATTCTTCTCAGATGAATCAAGAAATATTAATTTAAGAAGCTTTCCAGCAACAAAGCTGTTGGAAACTACCTCACAACAGGTAGTTTTTTAAAATGGAGAAGCTGACAGAACTTTAGAAGTGCCTACATTCCATCCTAAATAAATCTACTGGAAACATTTCCACTACTACTCACTTTTTTCAGCCAACTCTCTACACTTAGTTCAGTTAATCTTGTCAGTTTGAAGGAAAGATCCTGCATATATTACTACATTCAAAACACTGGCAAACAAAACCGTAGCATAGTCAAATCTCCTTAAATGTGTGCAACTGTAACATTGATAAGTTCAACAAAGTTTTTGGGGTCAAATGTCCTTTTCTTACATCACTATTTATCCTGTACAAGCAAGAATGGGCTGTGGATACTAAGAAATTACCACACTGCTGATAAATGGAAAATCATCATATACCAACCTAATTTTTCTCCCATTGCTGAAGATACCAGAGAGTGTTTCCATATTTTTGTGACCACTCAAAGCAAGCTCTGAATGTGGAACTTGAAGTGGGATATGTTTCTAAAAACAGAGCATGCTGTAGAGCTCAGAAACAGCCTGTTCCCCTGCCAAGAAAGAACTGTAGATGTATCTTCCTACTAATAATCTAAGGAATTACTTCTGGCTCTAACCTACAATGCATATTGTGTTGTTTTCCTCTCCCCTCCCCCAAAATTTGCTATTACCACATTTGTATCAGGTAGCAAGAAGCTATACACAGAAAAGAAGGAGAAAGCTGAGAGATGCACTTGAGTGTCTATTTCACAGGAAGAAAAATACTTATTTTGAGAATTGTATCAGAAAATTCAATTTGCTTGAAAAATGAATCACTTTACCTTGGTGTAAGACTTCTGAAGTCCTGCTAAGGCTGTCTGGCCCGTTAGGAGGTCTTCACCTTTAGCAGAGATGAAGGCAGATCTCTTCACCCTGGAACTCCCAGAGGCTCCCTGCAGCAATGCCTGGAGACACAGCAACAGGGAAGGCATTTAGCTTCATCATCAAAGCCACAGTTTTAGAATGGATAAGAGAACAGTGTCCTTAAAGGTTTCATCTTGGTTTAAATAATGTAAATTTCCAAAATTAATGTTTAAATTATGTAAATTTAAACAAAAAATGTTTAAACAAAAAAAAACCCACAAAAATTAATGTTTAAATAATGTAAATTTCTAAAATTAGAGACCATCAGTTATAGATGGTCTCTAGCTTTTATATTGCTAGTCACAACAGCATGATCTCCAAACTCTGAAATTTAACAGGTGACCTACAGGTATCAATTCTGAATCTCTCTCATTTTCACCACATTGAAACAGCTCAGAGACATGCACTGGAAATGCTTCAGGGCAAAGAGCACAAGTGTGACAAATCATCTTAAGGGATTCATATCATCATCTCCTTAAGGGACTCATATAGTCCTGAGCCCCTGCAGGAAAGAAACACCACCCAGCCTCCTTGCAGATGACCTCCACCCAGCTGACAAAGCAGTCCTTGTTAAAAGTCCACTCCAAAACACTGTCTTATGCTCAAAAAAAAATAAAAATCCTTAAATTCCACCATCAGAAGGATAATGACATTGCCTTCCTGAAATGAATGCATTTCACCACTGCTTTTTACATGTAAAACAACCATACAGAATCTGGTAGTGTACAAGCTATGACCTAAATCCCTGTTTATATTCTTTTTCTCAAAATGCCACCTGATGTAAGACCAGTTCTAATCACACAGAAAATTACTTGGGTACATGAGATTTCTGTGGTTTGGTTTTATTTGACAGTATGTGGTCCAGCACCCTTACTAGCACAAGCAGATAGCACAGCAGCTTCCTTTAAGCTAACAATTCTGAGTGGTTTCAAATTACTTTAATTTTCTAATCAGCTATTCACTCTAGAAACAGGACTGCAGTCAGGTAACAGACCATGAGATGAAACACAGGGCTCCTTTAACAAAAATCTCAAAAATACATGCAGAAAGAGCTTAAGCACAAGTTCAAGGAAACTATTTTTGGTCTCATACTGTTAACAAACCAAGCAGGCAGCAAAATTAGTCAGATACAAATTACTTTGGCCTTCTTCACTCAGAGTCTTTGGGTCTTGACATCAAACCTGACTTTTTGGGTCTTGACAACAGTACACTGAAGATAAGAGTTTGTTTGTGTTGGGTGGGTGGATGAAGTCTCATCTTGGGAGACTGCCTTTGAAGCAGTTGTACAACAGAAACAAGTAACAACAGGGGGATTTCAGACAGATTGGTATCTGTATGTAAATACTTAAAATTAGAAAAAAATAAGAGAAAGATGAAGGCATAAGCACATTCAGAGTGACACAGCATTATAGCTACTCAGCTATTATGAGCCTGCTGTAGTAGTGTTATTCTGGTATTTGGTAAAAGAAAAAACTATTTAAAACATGGCAATAAAAAAAAAAAAAATGAGATGTTTTTCAACCTTACCTTGTCTAGTACAACAAAGTGCAACAACAGACAAACATCCAGAAACACACTTTTGTACTATTACAACTTACTCTGATATCCAAATTACTGTATTTTAAGCAGCAATTCTGAATTATGGTCATTTCAGTCTAAAAACCAAAGCAACTGTGTAAGTAAAAAGATCCCTGTAAGTTCATATTTGACAAGTCAAGGGGAAAAAAGTGAACATGGCTACTAGCTGCAGCTAGTAAATCTGTTCCAGCCATGTTGCTTGGCCAACAGCCTGAGCAAGTTCAAGTACACACACTTTTATTTCCAAGTTGAGTGACAAATTTTAACAGCTATCAACTGGTCAGGATAGAAGACATCCCCAAAATTCCCAGAAGGCTGCCAGATGTACTGCTTAAAATCAAAAATTTGTGACAAAATGCTATAGGGAAAAAAGGTTGTGACTTTTTGTGCAGGTAAATATTCAGCTTCACAAATTTCTTCCCTTTGCCTATTGAAATTAGAGTCCCTTTCCTTCTGCTTCTCCACTAAATTGCTGGTTAAGAATCTGCAAAAATATGATGTTAGTAATGTTACCAGTCTCATATGGGAAATAAATATCACTGAATTGAATATATTCATGTTTAAAGATGAAAGTACGGTATTGAGTGCATGTGTATGCATCTGTACAAACATATTTATATTAAATGGCTGAACAGTTATCAGTCAGCTTCCCTAAAGTGCTCAGAACTGCACTGTATAAATATTTTTATGAACCTGTTTTGTATTTAGAGACTACATCCTGAGTTTCAGCCTTTATCCAACAAGCTGGAGCCTTTTATGACACATGTAGTTTCCTGCTTTGCTGTCCAGTATCAACAAGCTTTTGGGCTTTTTTTTCTGAAAGGACTTTTCATCCTCAATTGCTATGTTCTTCCTCTCTTGCTAAGTATAAAATCAAAGTTTTAATACTTACAAAAATACACATCTCATGGAAGAGAAGCCAAATGTAATTTAGAAGGATTCATGAATGAATGAATGAATGGCCTTCTTATTCTAATAATCCCAAAGTCATCAATCTAAACCTTCAAACCCGAATCAAGTCTACCATGAGGTTTCCATAATCCAAACTAAAGTATTTGAAAATGTAGGATTTCCTTACAAAGAAATAAGCTGATATGGAAGCTCAGCAGCATATGATTAAGCATTTGATAACTTGCTGCTTTGATAAGGCATTACCTTAACCTCTGTCACAGAGGAGAAGCATAAGTCAGGAAACTGAAACTAGGCAACTGGAGGAATCTAGCTACTCAAATAAGCAAGATATACTTTCTGTGTCAGAAAAAAGATATGAATGTTCCCTGCAGCTAAACCTCTGTGAGAGAATAAAGTTATTTAACAAAGCAGAAGAGGTGGAGAAGACCTCAGCTTTATACATAACTAGTAACAAGGGAATATCTAGCAATTTATATTGTGAAAAATTATTCAACCTTTGTAATGCAGACCCTACATTTTCACAGGCAGCAGGTACATACTCACTACTCTCACATATTTATACTTTTCAGGTAAAAAAATCTCATGTCATGCATAAATTAAAAGATATAGTCAATTTAGAGAACACAATTTTTAGAAACACTAGTGGAGTTGTGTTAGAAAGGGTCTATATCCTCTAACTCTGGCATTTTCTACTCCTGCAGACAGACTTATTTTCATTTACATCAACAATTAAACTAAGTTCTAATCTGTTCCCATATTTAGCACTAAGCCCCTGAAAAGATGGAGAAATCAAATTAAAGATATAAAGAAAAATCTCAAGTTAGGCATTTTCCATAATTAATATTAACACATTCATACTTCACACACTACTAATTATTACTCTATATTACTCTTTTGTTGGCTAGTAAAAAGAATCTTCAGTACTGAAGGTTTTACTTCTGAGGTAGAAAAACATTCATGTTTTCTGACGTGATACCCAGTTGTTAGAAGTATTCATCCCAATTCAGATCAAGATTAATAAATTTCATGCGAAGTAGACACATATAAGATACTAAGAGGAGCCTAAATCCCTGTAAAGTTTGATGAAAATAGTGCTAATTTTTCCAAGCAAGAGTTATATCTATCCACTGGACAACTGGAAGGTAACAACAACTTTAAAAGTTTCAAGGTTTCACTGCTGCCATTCTTGCAGCTGTGAGTATCTCGCTAAGAGACTCTGGTTCAGCACAGCTATCTAGCCACTGCCAGGGAAAGTTACAGGACATTTGTAGAAGTACAAAAGTGCACTAATCTCCTAAACATTAATTATACTGAAACAAAGTTTCAATTAGAAGTAGATCCCCAAGTCAAACACACCAATACTTTTGTTTGCTGGTATGTATATATGCATGTCTGAGAAACAGATGTACAAGAAGAGACAAAAAACAGATCTTCATTTTACCTTTATTAGTTTTCTGCCCATATTCTCCGCTACTCTCTTTTCTACTCTCCAACGCCAAGGGTTTAATTTACAGTTTGTATCAGTTATTAAAATATAATAGGAACAAAAAAAAAAAAAAAGGAACACAGAAAACCAGGTTTTCTGACCAGCCCATTACCTAGTTCTACAGGACAGGATTTGTTTCTCTAAAGTTAAAAAATAAATTAAAATATAGAGTGAAAGTATAGATATCATGACCAAGTAATTAAAGTGCTTAAGCATCAGTGGGCAGCCTAGCAGAACAGGGCTCCGGGATTGTGTGTTTTTTGAGGAAGGAATTGTTGTAGAGGGGAATGAAGGGCAGGGAAGTTGCAGTACTTGAACAAAGCAGCAGCATCGATGGACCTGATGGGTTTCCATACTGTCACTTTCTCTGTGCACCTGAGGAACAACAGTCAGATGCCAAACAAAATAATAACAACAAAAAAGCAATCAGAATTAGGTCTGCTAAGACAGGTGGCTATCAAGATAAACACAATTCTTCTAGAAAACCATTCCTTCAAGAAACTCCACAGAAAAGCAGCAGATAATGGAAAGCACTCCCCAGCTGAAAGCATACTTCAAGGAGTACCAACTAAAGACTGCAATTGGGAATTTATGAGCTGTGTTTAAATGCTAATGTACCACTTCCTACCCTCTTCAGTCTTTGTGAATATACACCTCTTGCCAAGGCACTTGAAAGAAAAAAGCCTGTAAACTTGTGACTGCTCCTGGGTTTGGTGACAACAGCCAGCTAAGAGTTCAAAGAAAGACTGCAAAATGAGGAAAATGAAGCACATGATGAAAAGCAAGTGTAATGATTCAAGAGTGGGGTGGTGTGAGAAGGAGAAAAGGCCTTGACACTGTGCAAGCTCTGCTCAGGAATAAGAAAAACATCTCTGTATTATCAACACTGATTTCAACACAAATCCAAAACATGTCTCCAGACCAGCTACTATGAAGAAAATATACTCTATCCCAGCCAAAACCAGCACAAAGTGACACCAGAAGATAGGCTTAAGAAGGGGCCTAGCACCATGATTAATTTTAAATAAATAAGACCAGGAAATTTATTCAAAACAATTGGGTTCC